TTCATATACTAAATATCCCAAAGTTTTATTATAAATTGGAAAAAGAATAATTGTAAATATCTATAAATCACAATTCTAACTAAAATTAACCATAATACCCTTATATAATCTTTAATAAAAAAAATGTTATAAAGATGACCCCATGATTTAATGATATCATAATTACGACAGTTTAAGATTTGAAAATAATAATTGATATATAATTTTATTTGTTTCGTGAATTCTTCATTTATCTAATTTATGTTTTTTTATAATATGTTTATACATATAAAAAGAATGGAGATAAGTATAAGATGCCTTTCAAAGCTATGCCTAGTAGCGTTGTTAAACGGCTTGATCTTTAAAAAGGGTCGAGCCAGTATTTTAGCCAAGAATATTTGCTCAACCTCGAGACTTGCATAATAGTTTTGGCTAAAATATTGGATTAGCCTTATTTAAAAATGTAGCCTCTTAACAGCGCTAATACCTGGCTCACTCAGTCTATCTTTATTACACGTATTTATTGACTCCAGGCAATAATGAAACACGAGTATTTAGGATCTGCTTTAAACTTTTCTTTACCTAAATTAGTTCAACGTCAGATATTTTTTTTTTTTTTAAAAATTTCGATTTAAAAACGATTACACTATTAGGGTTTAATAAAATATATATATTATTTTTAAAAAAAATTGTAATGTATTAATAGTAGGTTATGGCACTGTGGATGGATATACTGATGACGTAGCTAAAAACTTTCCACACTATTAGGGTTTAATAAAATATATATATTATTTTTAAAAAAAATTGTAATGTATTAATAGTAGGTTATGGCACTGTGGATGGATATACTGATGACGTAGCTAAAAACTTTCCACACTATTAGGGTTTAATAAAATATATATATTATTTTTAAAAAAAATTGTAATGTATTAATAGTAGGTTATGGCACTGTGGATGGATATACTGATGACGTAGCTAAAAACTTTCCACACTATTAGGGTTTAATAAAATATATATATTATTTTTAAAAAAAATTGTAATGTATTAATAGTAGGTTATGGCACTGTGGATGGATATACTGATGACGTAGCTAAAAACTTTCCACACTATTAGGGTTTAATAAAATATATATATTATTTTTAAAAAAAATTGTAATGTATTAATAGTAGGTTATGGCACTGTGGATGGATATACTGATGACGTAGCTAAAAACTTTCCACACTATTAGGGTTTAATAAAATATATATATTATTTTTAAAAAAAATTGTAATGTATTAATAGTAGGTTATGGCACTGTGGATGGATATACTGATGACGTAGCTAAAAACTTTCCTGGAGTTTTACCCGAAATTAAGCTGATTTTTTTTAGCCGAGTGCCTTGAAAATATTGTTTACTCAGAGTCCAAAAGCACCGATTGTGTCAGAAGCACGGGGATTAGAGCGTTATTAGGAATGCTAGTGCATTTATTAATTTTTATGATTTCCGCTTTAACTAAGGAATTAGAGCTAAACGATAGTGCAAACCGATCAAAACATGTTTGATCCCTGGCTAGCGGAATTTTTTTTCTCCATGTAATAAGTGTCATTCCGTCAGGCCAGCAATAATTAAATTGCTTGGTGATGTGGATGACGGCCTTTAGAAAAACGGCAGTTAAGAGGGTGATGACCTATACTGTCGCCAGGGCTGACATAGTTAGCAAGATGGGGGTGTGACGATATCACAGCCTAAACAAAAACCTATTCCTATCCATAGTTCTATGTTAGAAAGGAGCAAACCAAGGTTGATTATAAAATTTGCAATTTATATCTAAGATGTTTTAAAATAATTTTTAGTCTCTCCTTTATTTTTATAACAATTTGGAAAATTAATATTTTAAACATTTTTTTCCCCAGTTATATAATGCTCATAATACTATACGATCAAAAAAACCAATTTAATGTTTTTTTTGGCATAGGCCCTTCTTTGAATCGCCCGTTTTTGGATCAACAGCGCTACTTTTGATCCAGAAATTCCTGGCCATGCTCGATTTACCTGAAATCATGTCAAGACGAGCTTGACTATTTAAACAAATAACGCGTTGGTTGTGAAAGAAAGGGGGGGGGGGAGTGTAAAACTAGACTGGATATTCAAAGTAGATCATAAAACTTACTAATCTGTTTTTAATACTTCAGTGTTGTAAAACGTTACTTGAATAAAAAATAGTTATTTTTTAATTACTGTCCGACAAATAAACCTAGATATCTCTTATTTTTCCATGTTACATTTTTTTTAAAAAAAAAAATCCAACGTTGTTTTAACCATTACTTAAATAATAAAATTGCATATCAGATAAAAAAATAATAATTCTCTAGATATTATGCACAAAATTTTATTAAGTAGAGTAAGTGTGATTGAAAATGTTGACTTCTGTAAAATAGCTGCTTCTAAGACTTGCGAAATTACGAGAATTATATATAATTTTTTTGTTTTATTTATGAATCGATTTAATTTTACACTACTAAATATTAAATTCAAATTTCATCTATTGTAAACTAATATAATGTCATTCACAATTAGAATTAATGTAATTTAAATTTTGAATGCCATTACCAAAACTAAACAAGTACTTTAAAGGAGAATTACAAATTACAACTACTTAACAGAAAATTATAGTTCAATTAATTTATAAAAATTTATTATATAAAATTTAAAAAAACATTTTTATTTTCAAAATTTTAATCATGTAACCAGGAATGTTTAGTATTACAGTCTTTGCTATTCTTAATACTCACTCAATTGCTGGGGTCTATGATCAATGTGTATTGTCATAATACAAAAATATTTATTCGATTTAGCCTGATAAAATTTTTCTAAAAAAATTAATAAGCCAAGAAGTTCTAATACATCTTCATATGATACAAAAAAAACATTCAAAAAATTATTTTATCCTTCATTGAATATGGAATAAATTGTATATTTATTTGTTTTTAAATTTTCTAAAAATTTATATTTTACTTTAGTTTAGGGTTAACTTTTGTTCCTTCCTTAGCTATAAAAATTTAATTTTTCAAAAATGATTAATTAATAATTTGAATTTCAGGTACAATAATTATTGTATTATAAAATTATAAAGATTATACAAAATACTAGGATAATAGATAGCACATATAAAAAATTAGTTTAGGTCAGATTTATATTAAAATGTTTCCTTATGGAAACATAAAAATCTTCATGTAATTTGATAGATTTGCTTAAACCATTAAATATTTTTACATTTACTTTAATATGTACTTTAAGACAATTATACCTAATTGTAAGTACTAATACTATAAAATTATTCTCTATAAAATCATTCTCTATATACGACATTCTCTATAATTGTTTTCTCTATAAAAAATTCTCTGTAAAATACATTCTCTATAAATAATTCTCTATAAAATAAATCTCTATAATCGACATTCTCTATAATTGTTTTCGCTGTAAAAGTTTCTCAACAATTGTTTTCTCTGTAATAGTTTTATCTATAATGACGCGATACCTACAATTCTAATTTATCATAAAATAATATTATTGTTGTCACGTCTGAATTTTTTCTTCTCATCTTCAAGAGATCACAAAAATAAAAAATTGATTAAGCAAAGTGAATAAAAAAATAACGAAATTTTATATTCTTTCGACTTTTTGAAATAAATTTGGAGGTAAAATATTAAATGCATCGAATTTCGTGAAAAATTTTAACCGGGTTTAATTTGGTCGTAATATATCGGAGAAGGGAATTTGCAGGGGTTTAGATTCTGCTAAACAGGTTAAAATTGAAGGAACTTCGCATTATATCGACGACAATTAGTGTTAACGGAAGAGATGCTAAGCCGAATGTGGTTGGTTAGTTATTATAATAGGGCTTTTTTTTTTTTAATTCTGCTAAAAAGAGAGATATGCTGACATTCTGAATATTCTGGAATTAATACTAAATATAGCATCTCTCGAAGGGGGGAGTGGAGGGGGGGGGGGGTAATGAAGAGTATTATAAACCTAAAACGGGTTAGGGTTTGGAGTTAGGATGTCATAGCCTACTTAAAGATTGATAGAAATTATTGAATATTTGTCGATTAACGCGTATATTATAAGCGAATAATTCCTAAAATCACCCAAGGTTAAATACTTCAATTAAAAATTGAGTTTTATCGAAGGGTCGTTAACAATTTTCTGACCGTTGAGAGAATGGGTAAAAATAAAAATAATAGGGGGTGACCATTTAAATGTTCGTATTTAATGGATTCTTCCTTAAAATGAAACCAAATTTTATGAAAAAAATTCTTTCCACCGGTGAGCGAGATGCTGGTACTTGACCGCAGCTAAGGTGAATATATGATTAAATTCGAAAAGTTTAAAAACTTTTGCAAATTTTTAAATTTTAACGAAATCGTCAATGTCAATTTTTGGGAGATTTATAAAAATTTTAAAAAATTATGTTTTGGACATGCTTATATTGTTTTTATTTAAAATAGCCTACTTATTTATTTTCATTAAAGTTTCTAAAGTTTTGAGAATTTAATTAATTTTTTGATATTTTGGACACATAACCTATTAAATTTTTAAAGAAGAAAAACTCTTACAATAATTAATAAAAAGAGTGCTTTTCTTTCTTTCTTTCTTACTTTCTTTCTTTCTTTCTTTTTTTTATTGAATTGTTACAATTTGAACTCTTCTAGATGTTTGAAATGAAATTTTTTTGTTTTTTGTAATTTTTTACTATTCATTTTTAGTTAGTTATAATAATAAATAAATAACTCATTAAATATTTTAATAGTTTATTTGAATATTATATACAAAATATATTTAATATGCATAGATAAAAAAAAAAGAATAAAATTATCAAGCAAATTAGGAATTGGCAAGTGAATAATGATTATGATCCCACTACTTATATAAACCCCTAATTTTCCCCACAATTTTTTTCTTCTTTACTTATTTTACATATACATTATAAAATAAAAAAAATTTTTTTAAAAAAAATTACAAATCCTTTTTTATAGCAAATATGAAAACATTAGTTTTAATATTCCTAACAGCTGTGAATTTGATCGTTTCGGCGAACGGGGCAACTTTAGAAAAACGGGATAACGGAATGTCAGTGATGACAAGTAATATTTTTTGACATTAATTTTTTTTTGACGAATTTCTATGATGCCAAAAAAAAACTTCAAAAATATCTTTTAGATCAAATTTCGTAAAAATAATTTTAGCCCAAAGATGTCCACCGGTTTGCCTGATGTATTGCGAGTTCGGTAACGTCTTGAATGCCAATGGATGCCCAATCTGCCAATGTAAGCCAAACCCGAATTGCGGACCCGTTTGCGCTATATACTGTCAATTTGGAAATGTTATGGATGCCAATGGATGCCCCACATGTCAATGTAAGCCAAACCCGAATTGCCCACCAGTTTGTCGCTATATTACTGTCAATTTGGAAATGTTATGGATGCCAATGGATGCCCCACCTGTCAATGTAAACCAAATCCGAATTGCCCACCAGTTTGTCGTATATACTGTCAATTTGGAAATGTTATGGATGCCAATGGTTGTCCAACCTGTAAATGCAACCCTAGACCCAGGAACTTGGCATCATTGCCCAACATTACTTTACAAGGTAATATCTGCTATAAGATGTATTATCTATTCTTTATCACTGTTATAATCGTGAATATATATTTTGAAAAAAATTTTAAGGTAGGCCGAGAGGATTAGTTTCGAACGCCGTTACAGCTGTAGATATGACGGGTACGAATTCTTTTTATTCGTAATTTTTTTTTAGTAAAGATCAATCATGGCATTTTTGGATCTCTCTAGGGTTAGCTACAGGGTAGTCAAATTGTGCATATTTTCTTATTGTATTGTGTCTCTATTTTGTGCATCGAATTTCTATGATAATTTTTAGCCCTGAGATGTCCACCGGTTTGCCGTATATACTGCGAATTTGGAAACGTTTTGGATGTCAATAGCTGTCCAATCTGTCAATGTAATCCGAATCCGAATTGCCCGCCAGTTTGCCGCATATACTGTCAATTTGGAAATGTTATGGATGCCAATGGTTGTCCAACCTGTAAATGCAACCCTAGACCCAGGAACTTGGCATCATTGTCAGACACTTTCCAAGGTATATCTGCTATAAGATGAATTTAACAAAAAAAAACCCCCTAAAGGTAGAAATTTTATATATTTACGAAAGCAAAATTATTGATTTTTCTATTATATATATAAAAAAAAAATTTAAGATGGGCGGAGCGGGTTGGATTCGAACGCCTTTACAGCTGTAGATACGACGGGTAACAAACTTCTTTTTATTCACATCAATCATGAGCATTTTTTGGATCCCTCTAGGGTAGATACGTAAATTTCTCCGCACCTTACTTTGTATCTCTATTTAATGGCATTATTATATGTGAGTTGCTACTAAGAATTAATTACGCCGTATATTAACCGCGCTTAGGGTCTTTGAGAGATTTTATAAATATTATAGAGCACTTTGCTCTATGTAAATAACAATATTTTCACAATTTTTTAGAAATTAAATAAAAAATTATTGAACGGTGTTCAAATTCTCCAATACAAACGTAGGCAATATTCCTATTAAATTCCTAATTTCTATTTATTTTTTCTTATTAGTCAGATCTAGATGTTCCCCTGTCAAATGTTTAATATATTGCGAATACGGTAACGTAGTGGATGCTAATGGCTGTTCAACCTGCTCTTGTAAAGATTATCCTGATTCCGCATCTAGAGGTATGTTAAAAAAAAAGTAGAAAAAGCATTTTATAGAATACTTGCATGTCTTGTAAAATTTTTCATGATTTGTAGCAGCTCAGCCTCTGTGCCCTCCTATTATGTGCTTCGTCTGTCCATATGGAAATGTTGTTCAAAAAAATAGTAATGGATGCCTAATTTGCAACTGCAAAATGTACCCAACAACGATAAATCTCGATTGAAAACTCTATTAAATAAATTATAGAAATGTAATGCAATTATATAAATAAGATGTTATATAATATTTTAATAAAAAAATTATCCAATCAATGGGACATCTTACTAAAAAACTTGTGCTAGAGATCTGATCTAGCCTTTCATCAGGATCCAAAGAGAAGAGAATCCAATGCTTTCTATCCAAAGAATTTTATAGTTCTCCTTTAGTGCAATCTGTCAAAGGGCATGTATCGATCTAAAAAAATATATGGAAATGCTAGATTAAATTTTTTTTCAGCAATATAACCTTAAATTGTTCGGTTGTGACACCTTTCCCTCAAACCTTAAAATTAAATTCAATCATATTGAAATCGATATAAATAGGTCCCACCTATAATTAAATTATTTTCAAGTCTTATAGAAAGAAGTTTTATAATTGGAGGGTGGCGTCCCCTTATCTGTGTTAGCGGCATTGTGTTATTTCCGACAATTTAAAATATATTCCACACATGTTTGGAATAACCTACGAATTTCAGATAAATTTTATGACGAATTACTATTCTTTTATCCATTTAGCGAAGTGAAACTTGTGAATATTGAGCGTCTTTCCGGTCATATTTGGAGAGGGATATTTCATTTATACGTTGTTAATTATTCTTTAGCCTATTCTCTCCATTTCAATTCATTCGATTCTTAATGAAAATAATATTCCTTCATTCGTTTTTCACTTAGTTTGCTTTTAATTATCGTGTTTTCTTTCTTTCTTTCTTTTTTTCTTTCTTTCTTTCCTTCTTTCTTTATATATTTTTTTATTCTTTCTCGCGCTTCATTTGATTATGCGTCATTTATTATGATCATTTTCATTCGTTTATACAGGTCTTATTTTGCTGAGAGTTCCCTTATTGCGGTAGTCACCCATAGTTCTTATTATATTTGCTGTTTCATAACTTGATCCTATTTTCCTCGATTCGCGCCATTGTTCAAATTTTTTTCCTTTATGTCTTCTTCGTAAAATTTGTCTTTCATGTTAGAAACTTTGAAATGAGTACATTATAAGGTGTGATGGTTGTGTTTATTGTTCTTTTACCATCTCCTTCAGTCACATGTTCACATTCAGTTCAGCTTCACTGTCTTGTTCCCTGCCAGTCAATCGATTATTCTATATTACTCCTTAAAAAAATAATGTTTCTCAGACTTTTTTCGCAACCCTCGCAAGTCATATATCACTTCAAAGATTCCCAAAAGTACAACTTGCTGCTAAATTTGTTACTGATTATACCTTTGAATAAGGTTTAAATTTCTTTTATATAATAAACACTTTCAGGATGCCCGACAAAACTCACATAAATTCTTAACTCAACATAGTAAGAAGCCTATCCATTAATTGCCTGGAATCTCTATCAACCCTAAGAAATCCGAATTCATCCCTCTCAAGTCAATTTGTACTTAATTCACACAACTCCAAACTTATCGCTTCAAGCGGAACTAAATCATGTAGACTCCCTTGTTGGTGGTAGCACAATCATCTCTTCCTTGCTTCTTCCCCATCTTGAGACTCTTTTTGAGATGGTGGATTTATCTTTCCTACCCCCCCCCCCCATAAAGCCATTTCCCTATTGAAAAATTTCTTCAATATTCCTCTAGTCCTATATGCGTTGCGGTCAATTCCTATCTTTATATTTTCCATACCCCATGGAGTTTATGAAAATGGAAAGTTCTGAAGGAAAATATAGTAAACCATATGTTTAATAAGAATAGTTCTAACTCATTCTTACAAAGGAATAGTAGATTACGTATCAGATCTCCTTCCGATCTTTCCCTTACTGCTTTTAGATCCAGTTCTTTATTGACAAAACATAACATATCGTAAATTCCCTTTTTATAAAATCTGATATCTTCCTATGATGGTGCAATTATCGATTGGAGAATCCTGAAATATTGTTGATCACAGTTCCAGAATCGAACTCGACATAACTCCATTCCAGAATCCAATTATCTGATCGTCCATTATTCTTCACGTTACAGGATATAATTGGTTTCTTGAAAGCTATGCCCTCAGTTAATTTCCAATTACAAACACCAAAATGTGCATGGTAATGTTTTAGGAGAATATCTAATAATCCAAGATTCTAAGACTTAAGATTTCACCTCTTTTTAAGACACTCATGTGAATCACGTTTAATCGAAAAAAATAATTAAATGCTACAAAAAAAACGAATTTGAAAGATCCTTCTCAAGAAGAGGGGTGGGGGTGTTTAATATCGCAATTGTTTAATACCGGGAATCAATATTGTATCATGATACAAATTTACTTAATTAGTCAAAGCAAAGATAAATCGCATTTCATTAGATAAAAAACTCGATCTGTTTTAAAAACCAAAAAAAACTCAACAAAAAACAAAACCACACCAGCCACGTGAAATTAGCGCAGATAGAAATGGAAAAATATTATTTTTTAAAAAATAATATTTTAAATTCCTTACAAAATATTTATTACCAAAGATTTTACATATTTTTAGATCATCTTCCTTTTTTTTAAAAAAAGTGAAATTATTAATCGTGTTCATGAATTTTTAGAAGTTTATTAGAAAATATTTTAAATATTAAATTGGAAGATTTTAATTGGGGTTTTCTCACAATTACCCTCAAAAATGGGAGGTTTAGATTTATATCCTTTAAATCTTATATCTCTTTCCTCATTTTTGGCATCGCGTTTGATGAAAACGCGATGATACCTTCTTTTATCTCTCCTAAAGATAAACTTTTAAACTCAGCCTTGACAGCCTGGGTATCTTTAGCTCAACCTGAAGCTGTCTTACCCACAATCTTAACCCACCAATCTCGAACCTTTAATTATAAAAAATTTTTTAATAATCTCATTAAACCCCCCTTTGGAGTATATTCAACTATTACAGAATGCTGACTGTATTGTGGTTATGAATGGTTGGAAGCATTTCTAAGTCGTAACCTAGGTAACCTCTTATCAGATGAACAATTAAGAGTTGCCATAGACCATCGACTTGGATGTATCATTGTTCCATCACGTACATGCATCAAATGTATAATATTAGTTGACTCCAAAGGGAGACATGGTCTAAATTGTTAATTTAGCTATTTGGTGTTCTCTTACCAGGGCCCGAATACCAAACATCCTATAGCCTACAAATTTATCATTAGATGATGGCTTAAGACCAGATGGCTTAACTACCGTGTTTAATTTGGACTTGACATGCGTATCTTCTTTTCCAAAAATTTAAATTCTAATCCGGTTGATATAGCCGAGAAAAAAAAACAATGAAATATTCTAAATTCACAAATTATATTTTTATACCGATCGTTATCTCTTCCCTTGGACATATGCCGACGATAAGATAAAAGCCCTTACATCAGAACTAAGAGAATACTATTTTTCTAAAACAAAACTCTACAAATAACTATTTTAAAATATAACTCTTCATGTTTTTTTGGGAACTTGTAGTCCCACCTCCGTTTTTATAAAATAATGTTTTATTTTATTTTATATTTGATATGTTAATATATGATATTATTATTTTTAATAAATATGGTTATTAATATTAAAAAAAATTTATTTTTCTTCCAATTTTCCCCTTGAATATTTCCTTATATTCTTTTGGAATACTCGGTATATTTCACCGGTCAATACACCAGAGACCTGCAGAACCGGCCGTAAACCCGGCCGGGCGGGTCGAGCCGGAAAAAATTTTGAAAGAAAAATCCGGGCCGGGCCGTACAAATGGTACCTGTGCGGGTTTCTGCAATATAGATAATTTTATTATCCTTAAATTTATATTTTAAATCTTCTCGGCCCGAACAAATCATATTTTTATGAACGCAAAATAATTTTTATATTATAGCGACATTATTAAATGTCAATTTGGGTAAAAAAATAATGGTTATGATTTATTTAAAATTTATTAGTGTCGTAAACCGGCCTACAATTTGTGACGATTTTTAAAAACTGCCAACTCAATATTTTAGGGGCGCATTCATGGTGAAATCCGATCCGACTCGATTTAACAGCTGATCGATTTTTTAATCGGTTTACGAGAATCAATTTTTCGTTATTAAAACCGATATTTATCATGTACAGAATTTAAAGATAAAATAAATATTCTTTAAAAAAACATTGATCTCTCATAATCAGATTTTTAAAATCGATCAGCTGTTAAATCATGTAGGATCGGAAACCACTATGAATGCGGCCTTATCCAGAGCCTGAAGATTTTGCTGCTCTTAGATATGAAAAAAAAAAATGGTTTAGAACATATTATCAAAATCTTGAGACATAGGAATATTTTTATGGCCAAAATGTTGAGTTGGCGGTTTTGAAAAATCGGCTTAAAACCGGCCGTTTAGGAATACTAGTCATCATGATAGAATATGGCAAAATTTATTAAACGTGATTCAAAAATATCTATTTTTATTATAATATAAAAAATATTAAAAGACGCCATCTAGCGTATGGAATATTATTGTTTTACTTTTTTTTATAAATTCTTATTCCTATTTAGCACGTCGTTGGGTCGTATATCTGCCCTGGCCCACCCAAATTATTCCGAATTTTTTTTTCCTCAAGGATACTGTTGGGTTTCGATCATCGGGTCTCACCATCTGGGAGGGGATGATATTGACGGAGTTCGGGGTCCCGTAAGATCCATAAAGGGAACAGGGGGGACCGGACTTGAATTTTATTTTCGTCATAAAATCAAAGTAACTTGGATGAGAAATTATCTAAATTTTTATTTTCAATCGATAAACAAATTGGTAGATCAACAATTTAATAAAACATTATTGTTTTTACAGTTACTTTTGAAACATAACTAATTACAGTTACTAGTTACAATTTTTAAAACACAAACTAGTTACAGTTATCTTTTAGCAAAAAATGTAACTAACCTTAACTACAAACATAAAACATACAAAGTAAAATAAATAAAATATTTAATGATATAGTTATCTTTTTTTTTTAATCAAGCAATAATAAATAAATCTTCAATTCCATGTC